CTACTACTGCTGCTGTTGCTACTGCTGCTACTGCTACTATTGCTACTACTGCTACTGCTGCTACTGCTACTGCTACTACTACTACTACTACTACTACTACTACTGCTGCTGCTACTATTACTGCTTCTACTACTAGTGCTACCACCAGCACTACTACCACTACGACGACTAATTACCAGCACTGTCTTTCTGCTATTACGTGATCTTTGCTGTGCTCTTGTATTGTACACCTGCTGCAACATGCTGTGACTACAGTCGATATCTGCAGAGGCACGGTCATCCTCGGAAGACGGATCAGCTCATGCCCGTCGTGACTACTCTACACTGAACATGGCTTGACGTCCTGAGGTCTTGTCTTTGGCTGCACGAGCGGCTTTGATGCCTTGACGGGCATGGGCGCCGCGCAGGGACTGGTGCTGCACAACTGCGCTTACTTCAGGAAGCTTCTCGGACAAGCCACTACCCTTCTTGACGGCTGTCACCTTTGGAGTGGCTTTGGACGGTCCTTTTGGTCCTTTTGGTGCTGCTTTCGCCTGGAGGCCCATCGGGCTTTTGATAGCTCATGCCGAGCGGTCCCCACACACCTCTCTCTCACATTCTCTAGTTAGACTCTAGTTGCTCGCTACGAGTATCTCCGATATCTGTGCGTTCTCCTTGAATGCTGACCAAGACCGTCTCAAAATTTAAGGTTTTAACTGAAGGCACAGCCGCCTTTACGCGATCTGCCTTCTTCGGCCTCAGAGCTGCAGCATGGATCCAGTCAGCGCGTGGTGGAATCGATCAGGCTGCTGGCGTTCTTTCGCTTCGCTTGGCAGGTGCTGGCTTCGCCTTTGCAAGGCCTTTGTCGACGTGAAGCCGTGAAGCATGAACAAAGCAACTCAAACAGTTCGGCTCAGCCCTTGGCGCTCACTGCGCCGAGTAGGTTCAACCTGATTGCCAAGTACATTGATTCACACGGGCGAATCTCACCTCTGAAGGATACGCCTTCTCGAGGTTGGCCTCCCGTACACGGGCAACGCCACGAGTCCCCAGTTCAACCTGAAGCTGCGGAGAGCCCCAGCATTCCCCAGCATGCCGCGACAAGCGAAGGGGGCCGTGCTAGGAAGCGTCCGCCGTCTTCCGCATGCTCCCTTCTCTGGATTTTTCCCACCCGGCCATTCATCGATGTGTCGGACTGCAAGCCCTTCAGCCTGTGATGATCTCTTCACCCGACTGATGCGCATGATGCCGTGCAAAGATCCATCATGCAGGCAGCTCCGACCTAGCAGTTGTTAGCTCTTAGCTCTCATCTCCAGCAAACAGCAGATGCCTGACGGAATCTCCGGGCTGTAGGCCGGGCTTTTCAGCTTCCCTGCCGCTGAAAATGCTCGGAAACTGAAGCTTGACACATGCAGAATAGGTTCCCCGCTCTATCGGGGAGTCGTCGTTGGCCACTCCTGTCGCTTCTTGCTCCTCCTCCTCTTCTTCCTGCTGGTCTTCCTGCTCTTCTGCCTGCTGCTCTTCATGCTGCGCTTCCTGCTCCTCCTCCTCCTCTGCTTCCTGCGCTTCCTGCTCGGCTTGCGCTTCCGGCAGTTCCTGCTCCTCCTCTTGCTGTTCTGTGGCCTCCTCCTGCGCCTCGTCCTCCTCAACCTCCACTTCGTCCGTCTCTTCAATACTCACCTGATCAGTTTCATCTTCGTCGCTCATGGCAACGCCCTATGGTACAGAGAGGGACAAAGTGGCTTTGCATCGTATGAGTTGAAGAAGCTGTGGCAGCTTGAAAATGCCTAGCGAGCAGCTGGTGTCAGTTATTATACATGATTCGTCCATGGTGCAGGTTCCATTTCATGTCAAGCTAAAGCAACTTATTGCTCGAGCCGCAAGAGGTCGGCCAACACTTCCGCTCGAACGTTCGATTTGTAGCTTGCCCTGTGGCAGAGGGCGAAGCCCACAAACGCTTTTATCATCTTTTTGGAGCCATGCGCTACTCCTCACCGTGGCTTACGCCTTCAGCGAGGATTCCGGCAAGAGTGAAGGAGACCGCAGGTGCCGAGACCGCAGCTGTGCCGCAGCCAGGTGCTGTAGTGCCGACTGGGCTGTCTGGCAGACATGCCTGGCCTGCACAGCTGACTCGGACGTCTTTGCTCGGAGCAGAGGTTTGGGGCGGACCGCAAGCGGAAGATCTTGCAAGAGCCTGGGCAAAGACAGCGGCAACTTTCAGACGGGAGCCGGAGCATCTTGAGCTTCGGACCCGGCAGCGGCTTCACAGCTCTGACGAAGCCTCCTCACAGGCTCAGCGAGCGGCTGCGGCAGCTTAGATCGGATGACCGCTTGCCATGGTTCTGGTGAGTATGGCAAGCAGGAGGGCAGAGGGTCTCGAAAACATGAAGGAAGAGCAGCGGACCTTAAATGACTGCTATGCGCATACATTCTTCGCTCACAGCTGGCTTTTTTCGCGGACTCGTTAAGCTTGAGGTTTGCCATCTGAAGCCCAACAAGCCTGCCTTCGACGGTCGTGGGGCTGCGCTGGCTTGCGCCTTGCATGTGGCTGCCAGACCCTCTCGCAGCTGCACGCAGGACCTTCCAAGGCCAGGAGTTCAGGAGATTTCAGGAGTGTCCTTGTGGCGGAAGCCTCGAAGCCGATGTCGGTGATGGGCTCCGAAGCCAAGGCCTGGCTACGGAACTCGGCGCTGGCTTCGGGGTCTTGGAAAGGTTCCTGCGATTCCGAAAGGCCCCTGGCCTCGCTTGGCCCTGGCCTGTCGTCGAAAACGCTCGTGCTCGTGGGCCGAGTCGTGGGCCGAGGGGGCCCGGGTCTCTCTGTCTGCAAAGGCACCAGGCCTTGGCTCAAGACTGCGAGGGGCTGCGAAGTCGCTTGGGGCCCTCCCTGGGACGTGCACCGTTGAGACGGACAGTCTTTAGGACCTCTCAGGGACGTGTCAGAAAGCGGCACAGCCTCGATTGCAGACACTTTCGGAGCACCCAAGGAGCACCCAAGGGCCTTGGGTGCATTCTCCGCAAAACCCCACCAGGTCCTGAAGAATTGCAAAGTCTCCCGGCCACGGTCCCTGCTGCTATAACCACCCATCAGGTGGGCTCTGACAGCGGCTTGCGCCGTGCCCGTTGAATGTTGGAATCGTCAGCGACAGCAAAGCAGTCCTGGCCAGTGATAGTACCTTGGCCCATCGCCATTCCGAGTTCTGTACACGAATTGCCCTGGCCTTACTTCTTGCTGGGCTCCCCCGCTGCGCCTTTCTCGTGTTCTGCCACCTTCCCATGCAAAGGGATGCACGGCCTTCCCTCCGACATGGCATACAATGTGACACGGTGCAGGCTCACGACAGCCTACGAAACTAAGATAAATGTGCTCACCTCCTGTAAGTTGTCTGCATCATTTTATATGTAACACCGCAGCAGCATTGCCCAGACCTTTGGTGCGCCTGATGCTTTTCCCACGCAGAGCAAGTGAATATAAGTGAAATGCCAATGTAGGAATGTAGTCATTGTATCAGGGCTCACCAGTCACCAAATGTGTCCCATGCACCCTGTAATCCTGGAAGTTTTGGCGATGCCGGACGGAATACCACGGCTGAAAGAGACACGACATGAGGTGATGATCCTTCCAAATGCCAACGTACGGTGATACGATGGCCACGGTGCATCCGACCCGGCTTTTGCATGAGTAGCGACCGTCGATCAGATCCGTCATCATCCGTTCTGACAGCTATCGCGAGACGTAAAAGAAGCGAGGTTCTGCATGAAGGCCCGTGTTGCGGTGCCGAAAACTCCCGGGCTCCCAGACATTGTCGAGCTGAGCAGATCACGACCCAGGAGGTCGGTTCCTTGTTGTCGTCGAAACGTGCACGGTGGCACTTCGAGTGGGAACACCAAGCTCCCTTGCCCTCAGACAGTGGGGTGGTACCCGCACCATACTCATGTAACAGCGAGTTGCGGAAAGAGTACACAAGCTCACAACAGCAACGCAAACGACAACATTCATCCCCGCGTGTGTGCCTTGTCCAGGCGTCGGAAGATGGGAATGTTCAGGTGCCACCTTCCACTCTTCGGCAGAAGACGGTTCGTGTGCTCTCAGACAGAATGGCAGAATTGTGCACCTCATTCACGCATTGTCAGTTCAGACATGCAGAAGCACGAAGAAGAGCTTCCACACCGAACACTGCTCGTCTGCTATCAGGCTACGCAAGTTGAGATATATCGACTGAACATGCACTCGAAAACTTGACACGAGATGCAGACAGAGACCAAGGGAGACTCACGGCGATTCTGAGGCTGCCGCATGGAACCTGGCTGACGCCCAGCAGAGGCACGCCGGGATTGGGAAACACCTCTTGGGTGAGCCCCATTGACGGGAGCTTGAAAGCTGCAGCGCGCAGCCATTCGCTCTGGATCCACGCAGATGCCTGAACTCACCTACTAGCTGCTAGCTTCACCCTGTGGTTACAAGTATCTTTCTTGACTGTGTGAACAACCTGCAGCTGACATGCATGCACATTTGTTCTTTTGCGCGTCTCTGTCAGGCTGGAAGTGAGATGTCACTCTTGCTCACTCGTTGAAGCCACCGACCGTCCTGAAGCCTACAGCTACACTATGCAGAATTCTACGGAACCGTCTGAATTCAGCCCGGTGAACAGGTGGGCAAACGGAGAGCGGCGACCGCTCAGAGGCTCAGAGGCTTGATCTCGGGCCCTCCTCGGAAGACCTCGGAAGGGTGCAGGGACTCGGGTTTCAATCCAGCGCTTGGAACGGTCCACTTAGCGGAGTTGGCTAAGGATGCACCTTGAGCCGCCATCTTTTCTCAAGCAGGCACGTCAGTGCTAAGCTCTGCCGATCTGACTCACTGGGCCTCCCCAAGTGAGGCCAAGAAGCCTGGCCAGAACTCTGCGTGCAGCTGCTCTGCCTCCTCAGCCAGGAAAGGCCCCTCCACGCTGATCGGGCGCTTGCCTTTCGCCAGTGTCTCGCGACAGGATGCCAAAAAGTCGTCCCCAGCGTGGCGGGCCAACCCTGCCTCGGGGCATGCGTACACCACGCGGTCGATCATAAAAGACCAGTAGATCGCACCGCAGCACATGACACACGGCTCGGTGCTAGTAAACAATTCGAAGGAGCAGCCGTCAAATCGCTTGGACTCCCGTGCAGCTGCGGCTGCTGTGCCTAAGAGGCGGATACCGCACATCTCCGCATGGGCCGAAGGGTCATTGTCCGTCACAACACGATTCTCTGCGTCGATCGTCTCCACGACATCACCGTCCGACTTGCGCACCACGATTACGCAGCCGAACGGATGATTCCCGTTCTCTACAGCCCGGCGGGAGCACTCGATAGCATGCCGAAGAAGCGCTTCATCGGCTTTGGACAGTGCTGCGCAGGCTTTATCGTAGCCCGCCATCTATCTGAGCCACGAGTGCTCGGGGGAATCCAACATGTACACATGCGTGAAATGCACACAAGAAGGCCGTGGCCCTTATGCAACTTCATGAGGCGGCTGCCCGCTGGGCAGTCTTGGATTTGAGGGTCCTGCTGATGCGGCACCACGTTGCAGACGAAGTTCGGGGACGGCACCTCGTACCTGGCCGGAGAGGGGAGGTCGTGGGAAACACTGGGAACATGGCGCCGGATGCCGACCGAGTCTGGTGGCAAACTCAAGCGTGCCCTGCAGTGCTCATTTCCCGTCCACTCAAGCTTTCCAGTCGCCAGGTTGAACCTGAAGACCGAGATGTTGTCGGAGTCCTTTCGAACGAATTTCAATGGTGGCGTGGCTGCACTCAGTGCCCTCCGGTGCCCTCATGTCCTGGTTCGCAGTAATGAGCCACTGCCCGGAGCTGTCAAACTGAAAATGCCTTGCTTTGGGACCATGACGTGGACTCTCCATGCCCTACTTGGTCACACCAGGCCTGGGGGTCGCTCCTCGGGTGTGCCTTGGCGGATCTTGGCGGACACTGGCCGGAAGCTGGCTGCTTGCGGAGATCCCGCCCGTCTGAGCTCTGGGCTGCGTCACGGCAACCGACAACAAGCCTCTGTGGCCGTGCGTGTAGTGCACCTGAGAGCCCAAAAAAACAGCCGAAAGAGGCAGATCTCAGGAGCGAAGCCGGGTTCAGAGCCCTGAAGACGGTGATGCTGTCGTGGCCTCGGTTCCTCGGTTGGCAGGACCCCTGCCTCCGGTTACCGGCTTGCTCTGGTTGGGAATTTCTTCCAGCCCAGCTGCGAGACGAGGACGAAATTCCCAGAGGAGTGCACGGCCACTCGACCGCAAGTGTTGGCCTCCTGCTATGCTGCAAAGATAAGTCCGCATCTCTGCTTGCCTACTGCCGAGTGCTTCCAGCTCGGGCTGCGGCCCCTGGGAATGCATCTGGGATGGTGCGAACAGACCTGCGGGTGCCAGGGCCGAAAAGCTCTCCGGGCCCCCCGCCCCCCACTCCAAAACGGGATCCCGGCTGCACCAGGCGCAAGGTCGGCTGCGCCTGGTCCGCCGGCAAAAGGGCTCAGCTTCAGCTCTTTTCGATGCTTGGCTAGCGGCTATCAAGGCCTGGCCTGGGCCGCTCCGGGGCGCCCAGCTTTGATGACGGCCTCTAAACGAAGTTCAAAGCCAGCTGCAGCCTCTGCTGGAAGCAGGCCGCCTCCGTAGCTTCGTGGTCGAATTCGAAAACCGAAATGTCGGATGCCAGCTCGTTCACCTAAGCTCGAGACAGCAGTTGTGTATTTCAATGCGCCCTGCGGCATCACAACGGCAACTCCATCCATCGAGGAGCACAGGAAGTCCTGGGGCGGTCACCACGTAGCAAATCGGCAGAGTCGGGTGGAACTCGATGTACCGAGGGCCCAGAGCCTTGCGACCTCCGTGTCTGCGAGGGGCTATGTCAGGTTGCTCAGTCTTTCTAGCGGCTCCGCTACTGCGATAGTACGAGCAGTAGCTTTTTCCTCACTAGGGCTGCTCCTCAAACTCCAGTTCGGCCAAGGTCGCCATGGATCCCATGAGATTCAGATTTTGACTCACCGAATAGCGGTTGAAAACCACGTTATCGGAGAGCGTTCTGGTGCTCTCAGCCTTGTCAATAATCTCGTCCGCTTCCGCGGAACCCAGGCTGGGCCGTCCCGAGGAGGACACGAAACGCTGAAAGTCCAAGACAGCGGCCACCGGGATCTCGTCGTCCGCGGTATTTGTTGCCCTTGGCCTATCCTTGGCAGGTGGTGTGCTGAGCTTCCCCACGTCAAAGGAGGACTCCGCCGCCGTGGCGCGGCTGCCGACCCGCGCGAACTCCTTGCGCTTCGCGTGACTGGATCGAAGCCGCGGGCCGAATCCCTGCAATGCTGGGTGGCTGCGAGACATGTGCAGGAAACCAGGGTAACCAGGGTGGCTTATGTCTTATGGCTTCTTAGCTCGGCGCCGATCAGCACCCTGCCCTGAAGTCCGAAGAAGTACTGCCTCCAGAGCTTTCACAGGCCGCTTGGAGGTGCTGGCATCGAAGGTGACACCTCGCCAGCCACCCCCTTTGCTGAGAGTATACATGGCCGACAGCTGGTCTGTTTGCAGCATTTGCTGGTGTAAGGCTATCGAAGACAGCGTGGCAAAGGCATGCCGCTTGGAACTGCTCTTTAAAGCTTGCACAGGCTTGATAAGGAATCCCACCGTCTCATCGTTCGCCACCCATCGACCACGGCAGTGGCTCCCAATGAGGGCCTCCGCAGGGCAGACCGCTCCGTGGGATGTCCGCAAGAGCCGCGCCGGCTTGTTCTGAGTCCCGGTCTGCACCTCGATCTGCACATCGGAGAAGCCCGGCACTGTGATGAGCAGGGCATCGATGATTGCATCCTGGCCGCTGATCACCTCGTTCGTCTCAAAGATGCAAAACTCGCCGATGCCCAGCAGTTCCTGGACAGTCCCCTTTCCGAGCCATCGTTCTAAGGCTTGGATTTTGGGCTCGTTGCCGCTGGTTCGCAGCGTAGGCGTGACAGGCTGTAGCAAATCCCGCAGGGTATCATGCTCTGCATCCTCCAAGGCTTCCGACACCGAGGGTACAATCCGGCAACCATAAGGAGCCAAGTTCCAGCTTAAGAGCAGCATCTCGTCGTAAGGGCTAAGGCTACAGAACACCAGAGCAACATCTTTCGATGCACACATCTGGGCCACTTTGAGAAAGTGCGAGCAGGCAGAGTCGTTCATGCCCTGGCAGGCTGCGCAGTCAATCACCAGGGTCTTGAGGTCCTGGCTGCCTCGTACAACTTCCTTGAGGTACGTCGCGAAGGCTATGGCCACACCCTCGAAAACAAAACCTGTTAGCCCCACGACCTGGGTCCTGTCCCCGTACTTCTTTAGGATGCTGCGCTGGGCATCGGAGTAGAGCGCCCCGGATCTGAAGTGGATGCCGGTGACGTGATACTTTAAGACCTCCAACTTTGTTAAGCGAAGCGAGATAAAGCCCACCGCAAGCACCAGCCCAAGAGCAATGCCATGGGTAATGTCAGAGAAAACAGAAATCGCCACCATCGCCCAGATTACCACGGTCCCTGACCACTGCACTCTGCGGGTTACCAGGACTGCCCAGTCTAGAAGCATTCCTCCTCCCATCTGCATTAGGAGCCCACCCAGCAGAAACCGGGGCAAATAGTCCACAAGTGGGAAGCCAGAGCCCCACATCAAGAGATGAAGTGCGGAAATGATCACCGCGGTGTAGAATGCCGACCGTGGGTCGCCCTTCACTCCCTCCTCTGGGCTCTTAAGGAATTTGATTTGAGTTGCCGTGGCAAGGAAACTATACTATCTACTGTAGATCCAGATTATGGTAACTTAAACAACTTATACTAAGCTCAACAACAAGGACCCCCTCCTTGTTCAAGTCCGTCATGGCGGAAGTTGCATTCATCGGAACGCCGCCTACCAAGCCGCCGAGGGCTGTGGCAAGCCCCAGCTTCCACATTTCCTTGGTACTGTTTGTAATTTATTTGAGCATAGTATTCTGTACTAGGGCCCCATTCACTTTCTGATGCAATTTCGGTCTGAAGACTTTCGTGAATCCCTGAAGCCACAAAACGACTGCTGCCGGGAACTATGCTTATGTCCTCCGGGTGTCTCCATCAACACTGTAGGGCTCGTCTGCCAGCGCAGATTCAATAGCAATGACGGTGAGGGCACGCATGATGGTCGCCACCAGAAGCAGAAGCAACGAATCGAAGCTCGGCATAACGTACTGAAGATCAGCCGGCCAAGACCTGATGTCATAAACCCTAAGGTACCCAGCGTACTGGATCAGCTCTCCACCTATCTTCCCAGATCCGAGGGCTCGGCCAGCCGAGGAAGATGCCAACAGGAGGCTCCGAGTTGGTGCTCGGGGGCGAGAGCCAACCCAGCTCTGCCAGGTCCAGTTTGGAGTGCCCATAAATGCCGGCCCAGCCGTAGAAGCTGGTGAGCATCCTCCAGTTTAAAAAGATACCCAGGTGCAGCACTCTGGCTCCTAGAATCCTAGAACCGAAGAACAGGGTGATAAGACAAATCCGGGTGCGCGATGATGAGAAGCGGAGCGCTGTTGCTGGTTCTGACCCCATACAGCTTCAGGCCGAGCACGGTGCTGGCGAAGAAGACCGCAATGATCGTGGCCAGATGTCGGGACTCGTTGTCCGGATCCCCCAAGAGAATCCTGGGAGGACGAGAGGGTCTAAGTCTTACAAGTAGTACAGCACATGACATGAGCCTTCCCAGAGTCAAAGGAGCCGATAGCCAGAGCCAAGTGGCTTGAAGGCGCCCATGATCACGGCGGCTCCGATCATGGCCAAGAAGCCGGCCACCACAGGGTAGGGCAAATACCGCAGCGAGGCCATGATCCGCGGCGTGAACCATCCACAGGCCCAGAGGACCATCCCTAGCAAAAGGGCATGCAAGTGCAGCGCCACAAAGGCTGTGGAGTGGCCAGCCTCGGCCAAGTGTGAGATGGACCGTTGCCCTGCCTGCAGGAAGAGAGTGAAAGTGATGTCCGGGCAGGTGATGAGGAAAGGGCAATTCGAAGCCAGGTTGTGGATCAGATTTGCAAAGCCCGCGGAAAAGATGCTCGCAGATGACAGGAAGGAGACTGATAGCTGGGGGACCCTGTGGAAAGTAATCGGCTCCATCAGATGGGCGTACGAAACGCAGGACGCCAGGCTGATGAGCGTAATCGGGGTCGCCGTGAGGAACGAAGTCAACAGCTTGGAACCCAGACCAGTTTTTTCTACATTGGCCGCCATCGACGACGGCGAAGGAGGCGCAGCCGTGATAAAGCACTAGGAATCGATCTAAGTCTAAAGCCATAAACTGAAGCCGGCAAAGGGTGAGAGCTGCACGGACTCAAGCAAACCCTAACCCTAACCCCAATCCCCACGCTTCGAACACCTCGAAGTGACCTGCACCAAATGCCCTTACTTAAGGCAGCACTTCACTTAAGATCCAGGGATCCTTTACACATGTTTACACACTTTTGACCGCATTGCGGCTGCGCACCCGGTGGCCCGGAAGACATGGTCCCGGCGGCAGTGAGCTCACCAGCCTCCATTGAGGGTCTCTTGTCAGGTCACGCTCAGAATTGTTGCGAATATTTGGGAATTTGGGTTGAGCGTTCTTGGCAGAGCTGTCCTTAGAGTCTTGCCAGGAACTCTCCGCGTGGCTGGCTTCTTGTTTGTCACACAAGCTGCCCTTTTGTCATTCGCCCAAGTCAGGGTTCGTGGAAACGGGTGCTTCTTTGAAGACTGATGGCTGCTCAAGGGAAATGCACAAGACGAGACACAAACAAGCGAGAGAGCCAACAAAGGGTTCAAGCCCCTCGAACTCCATGCCTCCGGATCGTAGTAGAACTGGCGGATCAAATCCATGCCTGACAGGTAAAGCCAGTTCCGGTTGTGGGTAGGCCCAGGCCACGCAGAAAGCTTGCCATGAGTTCAATGGAGCCGGGAAGGCCGAGATCCGGCACGTAGGCGATCCGCCCTTCCGAAAGCTCAGAGTCTCACAGGGCTCCCTTTGAAGTGACTCTGTGGAAGCAGGGCTCCGCACCGTAGAAAGGGTCTAGGATCACGGCATGCGAGTGAGGGTCCGCCTGCCTCCTCACAAAAGGGAAATTCATCGTCCGGACACTGGATCTGTGCTGGATCTGAAGGGACGTTGGGATTCCCTGCTCACTTTTGCTCCACTACTTCAGCTGCTGGCAGCTTTGTTGCTGAGTAACTGGGCTTCCGACTCCTGCTGTGCGCTCGGATCGTTTTCCGAGTGATTGACATGGGCGTCGTGGCGCGCCTTTCGCCGAGTCAGGTCTCTCACACAACAACGACCTCGACATCTGTGGCCCGTAGTTAACCTTCACATCACTATCCCATACTTATCCTTTCCTGCTGGACCTGGATGGAAGGGCGAGCAAGACTCCAAGACGTCAGGGCCTTCATCGGCCGTCCCTCATTGGGATCGAAAAGGGAACGTCGGCAGCTGACCTCGAGGGTGCCGACTTCCGACTTCGCGAGTCTTGACCGCTTTTGGGATTTTCGACTCTTCATCTCGGCCCCCTGCGGCTCCTGTCACCTTGTCCAGGGCGAAGACACCGATCGTCGCCTGGGCACGGCACTTCCCCAAGGCCCTAGGGCGTGGGCTTTTGGTGCTTGTGAGCTACAGCAAGTCAGCTGATTTGTTTTGCGGTCCCAACGAGCTTGAAGTTCAATTTGCGCATTTGGAACTATAACTAATCATCCTTCGCTATAAGTGTAGTCGCTTGCGGGGAAGCATATACTGTATTACTGTGTGCTGCACATGCTCACGGAATATGGTTGTATTGTCACAAACAGGATTCTAGCGAGTGCCAGCTTACCGTTGCATCGCATAATTGCTGCACATGCTTCGAACCATCCGTGCAAAGTGCCCAAGCATCAAATCCTGCCAAGCTGAGCGCCTGAACAAGAAACTTAGAGGAGTCCGAGTAGCATTCCAGTAGTTGACCACCAGCATATTCTCGCATGCCTGGCACTGTTTCACCAACCGGCGCTATCATGTACTATGCTGCACAGTAGCTGTTCACCACCGCTGTTACATCTCCATGCTGCTGCAGATGAGTTCTACATGCGTCATGAGTGACGGGTCCCAACTAGCAACGATGAGCTGCGTCGAGAAAGGGTCCATATTAAGCATACAATCCTCCCAATCCTCAACGCTAACCCCTTCGTTTGACAGACCGCAGACCCTGCAGACGTTCCTGGTTGCTGCAGCCTAGTGCTGACAGAGCTCTGGGAAACGGAAGATTTGGGAAAGCAACTGTGGAACTCAACTCACACATTATAGTATACACTTGCAAGGATTCAGTCGGGGTGATAGCCTCTCATCTAAACTCAGCTAGAGCGAGAGAGAAATTCGGAACGAGAGAGAGAGAGAGAGAGAGACAGAGACAGAGTCAGAGCCAAACAGAGACAGACAGAGAGACAATGAAAGAAGGAGAGAGACAGAGACAGAGACTCAGACAGAAACAGAGACAGAGCGAGACAGAGAGAGAGAGAGAGAGAGAGAGAGCGAGCTTCGGTCAAGCTAGTTCAAGGTCCCCATAGGTCCCTGTCAGAAGCCGCTGCGCACGAGAGGCAAAGGCCGATGACCACGACTAGCGCAACACCGAAGACCCAATTGCAGCCCACACTTCTGGATTCCCACCACGGGCTTACTCAACGCAGGATGTGCCATCAGGATCCCAGCCGTCCCGCAATGCTACTACAGCGGCACTCCAGTCACAGGCGCCTATGTGAAATATGGAGCCGTGTAGGCTGAAATGCCCGATGTATCACCCCTGACTACATACACACATATTATATATATATACACACACATATACATTGTGTACGTTTATGTCATATACGTTTCAGCTGATGCTGAAATCGTGCCAGGGGTATGTATGACCCCAGAAAAGCCCGAAAATAGCAATGGGGACGCGGTTACCATTGTCATCGCCTTCGTATCTGTCAGCATCTTGACTTCATCTTCAGCTTCACCTTCATCGTTGTCTGCATCAGCATCAACGCCTAGAACCACCGGCGAGACCATCGGCTAGCTGTTTCCGCTCTTTCGGGACTGCATCATCTCTTTTCTCGAGGGCCTGGCCTTGTCCAAGGTGATGTAGCATGTGGAGGTCCCACCAGCCTGAAGCAAAGGTCTTTTCTTTGGTATCTCGAGCTTTCAGAAGCTCTGCCCCGCGCATCGAAGCTGCCGATGTTGGTGAGCTGCCCATTCGTCGGATTAACCTGATAGTCGGTTCGCCATGCGCAGCTCGAACTGGTACAAATTCAAGTCGTCGACTCTCGCACCACAGGCGTCTGCAGCTGAGGGGGCCGGCGCTCCAGGCATCGATCTTGCCGTTCTCCGCAACCGACTCCGTGCCTGAAGCGCATCTCTCAGGACGAGAACCCTGAGAATCATCTCCCGAGCTCGCCGCAGGTGTACATGACGTTTTTCCTGACACAGACACGGAAAGCGTGTACTGGCGCATGCTGGCGCGAGATGCGCCGTGTGCAGCGATCTGGCCTGCCTTGGGTGCCAGCGCGAGAAGGCCGGGTTCATGCAATCCTCCTGAGCTCTGCAGTCTTCGGTCTTCTTTGCGTGCAAACACCACTGACGCTTTCAGCCTGCGAGCAAACGTCACACCGGTAGCAAGCCCACGTCCGGGCTGGCCGTTGTAGCTTGGAAACGCAGCCCAGCTCCCATAAATCAAGACTGCGGAGACCGGAAACACTGGAGGGCCTGGACCACTGACAGCAGCACCAGCTGGCCGTCACTGGTGTCCATCCAAAAGGTGTAGAGGCTGAGGCCAGGGGAGTCTTTGCATACAGCTGATGCAGTCACTTGCAAGCAGCTTTCAGCGAGAAAAGATGTCTGGCCACGGCGAGGCAGCGGGTTGCGATAGCACTTATCTCGTCAGGCACGACTCGACTCCGCTCACGTGCTTCGGCCTCTTCTTGGCCTCTTTGCCCCGGGGACCATGTGCCAAGTTGTCGAAACCTGGCTTCGCGGCAAATCTTCGTCTGCGGAGCCCTGAGCCCCTAAGCTCAGCCCCGGGCGCGTGTAGCATGAGATGACAATCAGCTGGTGGCGTCGGCTGGTCGCAAAAGCCTCAGTGGTGTGTCTGCACTTCCCAGAGCCCAGCCCTGCCAGTGAAAACACTCAACACTTCGATCTTGCCTGCTTGGCCAGACTCTGCATGAGCAGTGTGCTGATCCCAAACAACACACACCTTAAACGACCGTGATCCCAGGTTCGGGGCTGTGATTGGCGCAAGTCGATCCGCCATGGTGGCCCAGCAAAAGGGTTTAAGTCAGAGAGCTGGTGAATCCAGATCAAAGCTGCTGTCATGGTCTCCATGAGTTTATGGCAGGAAAGCATCTAGTCGAATCATGCTGTCTATAAGCATTTCTCTCATGGATCCTCAACTACTATGTCAGGGTAGTTTGCTCGGAATAGCGTATTGTTTTCGGCAGACATGGCAGCTTGGAGGATCTTGACTTGCGAAAGAGCATTGGCATTGCATAGGCAAGTTGCAGGCCGAGGAACAACTTACTACGTCTGTCTGAGTGACTGCTGTCTTGTCATATGGACCATGCTGAGGTGCTGCTTTTCTGGCTTCCTCGTCGTCTTTGCTCTCCAACCGGCGAAGGCAGTGATTGCGTACCTGGCCGCACGGACGTCGAGGAGCCGCGCTGCAGGTCCGGAGGCATACCGAAGGCCATGCTGCTTTTTCCCCTCTCTCACCTCATACAGTCCTCGGTCTGTGGATCCGAGGACAGAGACGCAGTAGGGATGAAAAATTGCGACCGGCAAAGTTAAAGCAGATCCAACAAAAGCCATGAAACCACTTACATGTATTTACGTAATCTCCAACTTCTTTTCGAGAGATCCTAGTGCATCACGGATCGCCTTGTGTCGCAGTGGTGAGACCGGATCCTTCGCTACGCTAAGGTTCTTTTTTTCGGGTAGGCCAGCTTTCCAGTATTGGGAAAAGAACCTCCGAATTTGGATTGCTAGATTGTCGGGCTTGGAAGCCGCCCTTGGTCCGCTTCGCTGCACCCCCACGGCCACAGCTCCCCTCCTTCTCTCGTAGTCTAAAGCCATTCTAGGCTCTTAGCTGCAATCAGGTCCAGAGTGGCGGGCAACCACTGTACACACGACTTCAGCTGATATCTTTTGAGAGTCCGCCGCACGAGCAGATGGACGTTTTACCAGAATGTCATCAGGAAGGTTTCTGAAACCTGTGACGACATCCGGAGACCACTTTCTGCCAGCAAAGGGCTCTGGCCTACAAGCGATCAGCCCCCATCACCCTTCTGGCCTCGACAAGCTCGCATGAACACACAGAGAGCCAAACAGCGGAGGGCATTCGTGTCGCAGGATTCCACGCTTAGGGCTGGACATCGGCTGGCCGGCAAAGGGGACCGGGTACTGCCTGCTCCCAGGTCCACTCGCTTCGTGCTAAAATGACAGCACAACATGAAGAGATGCTCCCACCCTGACTGCTGGAGGTCCAGGGCTCCAATAGTGGACTCGGAAGCCAGAGGGACCTGTCACCACTGACCGCCGGCAGACGCGGCAGCGCAAACAAAAAACACGCAAAAGTGCGTGGATCAGCGCGAGATCGTGCCTCAGGTACGTCCTGGATCTCTCCACGCGCGCCGGTGGCCTGCCAACTCGGTGTCAGCTAGACAACCATGACGCGTGCGGCAGAAGTTTGAGCCAGAGGAGAAAGACTCATCGAAAGCTTGCGGTGTGTACCCACTTGAGTCCCACCTGACCAGCGCGAAACTTCATGTAGTCGGCACGGAACGCTTGCAGTTCGGTCAGTTCGATGTCCTGGTGAACCGTGAGCACGCATTATCTTCAAACCTTGAGATGCAACAAAACATCTGAGGCCCTCAAACGTCGTGTGTGGACGGTCCTTGGGCAGGAACGGCAGCGGCTCGCCCAAACCCTCCTGCAGCGCCGGAAAATGCAAGGGGATGCAAGGAGTGGAGTTAGTTGCTTTACAGACAAACTCGGACAGACTCTACTGGGGCAGTTTGGCATCCTAGCACGACAAAGCAATTTCATTCGACAAAGTCAACCGAGCTTTGCTCCATTGTTGCCATAGCCCGTTCCTCGCACCCCAACGCGGAAGGATTTGTCGTACCCCTCGGTGTCTTTTGTCGTTACGAAAGGACATGCTGGCAGTTTCACGAACCTTCCTTGTGCTGTCTACCAGACTTCGCGGTCCAGACGCTTGGCTCTGCTGGCCAGGCGTAGGCGTGTGAAGACGGACCACTCTCCGCTCAACCTTACGGTTGAACATATTAGAGACCGGTGCCATGACAGCACCAGGCGTCTTCGGCTTTGCTGTGGCGGCAGTTCTTCGATGTGAGCTTGGCCAGCGAATACTCAGAGCTTTGTCCCTGCCTTCGGTTTTTGAGCTTATTAGTATAGTCTGCCTTCCCTCAGACCAATGCATCAGAAAGAGTTTGGCATCCGCAAGACTGAAGTGATAAGCCTTGCACTTCAACCAACCTGCGAGGATGCAATGATGCAAGGCAAACTTTGGCTTGCACAGAAAGGCCCCCAGGCCCCCTCCCCGACCTTTGCTGGAAAGCCAAAAGGCTTTTACGGAGAGGGCCCCTACCGCCCTCCCGCGGGCCTCCGAGGCCCAGGGCCCCGAAGCCCCCAGCTGCGGATCTTCCTCCTGGTGCTAGGGCGGCTCCCGGGGTTCTTCAGCCGCGGCTCAGAAAACAAGAGCCTATGCAACAGCGGGGCCCAAGCCCTAGACACCGTGCTGTAGCTGTCGCTGCTTTAGATGTGCATGGATTTGTATTCGGATTCGCTCTACACTTGACGCTAGAATCGCGCGCGCAGTAGCCTGCTCTTCGGGCTCGTCGATGTGAAGGAACGTGTTCTTCACCGAGTACATCACCTTGTTCTCACCCCGCCTCGGTACTGTTTATGAGGAGAAGTTGAAGGGTCGAGCATGTTCCGGCTTGCCACCAGCCCTTGCGGCCCTTGCCCCAGCCCCGAGGCCCCGAGATCGAAGTCTCTGTGTAATGCACCAACCCAAGCCGAAAAGCAGGCAAGGGCTATCGAAAGGAACTGGCAGAATTGGACTTGTCTTCGCTTCTTGCTGCCGGATCGGCGCGGCCGTCTCGGCTGCTTGGAGATCGGCGCTGGGCCTGAACGAGAAACGAAGTCTGAGCGGATTCCCTCGCCTGTTTGCAACTCAGCGCACGCCGCACACGGGATGCGGCGCTATAAAGCTCATACATTCCACACGAGATTCTGAAGGCAGGGATCTTCACCGCGCCCACCTGCCTGCTGGCTTGCTGGCCTGCCTGGCCTGGAGCCATCGGCGCACCCTGCAGAGTGCAACATGTCAGTCAGAGTTGTCATGCAAATCCGACATGGCAGCGACAGCGCTTGGGGCCACCAAACTCACATCGTGCCTGCGTCTGAGGGGCGGGGCTTCCACTCGGCGCGTCCTGTCAAGGGAGGGCACGCGACACCCTGACCTTCCGGTGTCTTGTAGACCGATACAGGGCACTCCAGCTCGAAAGCCATGAACAGACGAGCAAGAACACAACAGAATCCAAGACCCCGCTGGTAGAACCTAGAGCCAAAAGACACTGGCTTCCAAAACAACACGATCCCAGCGCCGCTGGAGATTGTAGACCACCTCCCACCGAAAACAGAAACAATACAAGACACACGTAGCAGACTTCAAGGTCGCATAGTACCATGACACACAACAGACAGCAACCAGCCCAAATACTGAAACCCTCACGACCACACAACGAAAACGAACATCCGTCCGCCTGGCTGGGGTAGCCGCAAGGAAACGGCCGCACCATGCCTGGGGGGGATAGAGGTGCTCACGGGCTTTATGCGTTTGACGTGGTGTTTCAGTTTTCCGAGCACCTTGAAAGGTGGAACCAGGGGGCTCTTGGGTTGCTGGCTGAGTCTCACTCTTACTGAAGACAACAGCCACGTTGATTCAAAATTTGCAAGCGCCCTGTATCTGTATGAGCCTGTTCAGAAGAGATGGCTCAAAGAGGATCGAGGCAGAGACGCAGCACCCTCTTCCCCCCTGCCTGGCTGTTGGCCAGGGGCAAACCACCCAGGGAAGGCCTTGCGACTCAGGTAGTAAAATTTGGCAGGGCAGAGTATAAGGGGGCTGCTTGACACTCCGGGGCTTGAGAGATTGCCCATCAAGGATGCGCATCAAAATCTGGGGGAGGAGATGGGAGCGCCAAACAACGGAACAGCATGCAATAACTTCTCCCTCTGTAGCAGCTGGGGTCCAAACAGCCCCCATTTCCGGCCTGGCATTGGTTACAATCTGCATCGTGTTTTCGGAGCGTCAATTGCTGTAATGTTTTCATTCAGTATCACCCCCCTGCAGCTTTAACATGCTTTTACTTGGGCAGTAAGACTGCTGCGTACCTCCAACCTTATTTTTCACCCTGTGAAGACCTATGAACAGCAGAAGAGGGGCTGGGAGACCTTTCTCGCTGGAAACTGCGCTGTGATCTGATGCAAAGTTTTTACCAAATCAGGTCCTTGAGTTCGATTGAAGTGTGCCAGGGGCAGGAATGACAACTCAGGACACCTCCCCACGAGACCTTCATTCACTCTGCACAATGCGTCTGCGACAGCATGACCGCCAGCAGGGGGATACTACGGACACATGACATGTACGTTCGCCCGAAGCGCTCGTTCCGGTGCCCAGGAAGATGGCAAACGACAAGTGCTGTGGCGTCGACACCTGGTGTGCTACAACCTCTGTCACATTGTGTGGGAGCTGTACAGGAGATAGCATGATGTCGTGTGGAAACTCAACCCCACCAAGGATCCTCCAAGAAGTGTTCACTTGCGAGTTGGCGATGGTGATCTCGGGAGCGAGTGAGTGAGTGTATGGTCTTCACCTTGACATACCCAGGAGCGAAGCAGCTGTTGTGCCTCCGATATACTTTTCTGCCGTGCATCGCGCTGCCCTCCGTTTGCATGTATCAGCTCCTCTTAACACGTCCGAAACGACGAACTAACTTCAAACACCATCTACGTGCTTGGGAAAGAACTCGAAGATGACAAAACTGTGAACGGATCACTCCTCGAAGCTATCCTCGGCACTATTAAAACGTCACCATTATCGATGGCGATGGGCACGAGGAGAACACGATGGCGATAAATAGATGAATGGATGGATGGAGGCAGGGAGGGAGGGTGGGACGGATAGATGGGGACCTGAGAAAGGAGTGAACGGTCACAACAATAGGAACCAACGACAATAGAGCGATACAGCGCTTTTTGTTCAGTTTACGTCTCCTTGATATTTCGACTACGACTACGTGTACTGGCAGCCACGGCCTTGGGGGCTCGTGACCCGCAGGCCAAGCGCCCATGGGCCCTGTCGGGGGTGCAAAGACACCTGAAGCCACAGTCGAGTTTGGTAACAAACATACAAAACATATCACGCCGAAACTATGCAATCAATTACAAGCCTTCACGGACCGATTTTTAGGTCCCTGAGCCCCGCTCCCACTGCCACGCCGGTTGGAAAGGCTGCCGCGGCCGGAGCATTGCTGGCGGCCGACGGGGTCTGCTTGGGAACCTGCCAGGGTCATGCGGCAGGCGGTCGCAGGGGTATAGCTTCGATCTTGCCAGGAGACAGGAAACATGGCGCGTCGCACCCTCGAAGCAAAAAGTGTTGTCAGTCCAGCTTACTACACCCTGGTGAGCAAGGCGCCAAGCGGAGTATAGCACCGTCGCGAGCAACTCGGAACTCCAGCCTCCACGGGATCCGGATCCCAGAACACCTCGTGGTCGTCCTGATGTTCCAACGCATGTTCAGGGCAAGATCATGTAGATTCGGTCGTTAGAAGGCATCAGCAGGCTTGCAGCGCGGTGAACACCCTCAAGGCACGTGTTCCTTTTTTTGGCTCTCGCCACACAATCAGACACTCGAAAGTCTCTCCTTTCTGTTCACCACTTGGCGCCAAACCCCTTGCCGCCGCCTTTGTAACTGTCATAGCCTTTGGAGCCGCCGCCCCAGCCACCTGCGTCACCCCAGCCACCGGCACCTGCGCCACCCCAACCCACATCGCCCTCGCTCCCCCAACCACCTCCGCCGCTTCCTCCTCCACCCTTGCCCATGGCGGACATCATCATGGTCATCATTTGCATCATCTCCGGAGGCATGCCCTTCATGCCTCCCATTCCTCCCTTCATTCCTTTCCCACCCTTGCGGTCACCTCTTGGGGTCGCGAAGGCCACAGTCACCGGGTTTGCCAAGCCCTGAGGGACGTTGCCATTCACATGCTCCACGACCCACCTGGCATCTTCCACAGATTCCATGATGACGAAAGCCGCAGCGGCCGTCTTGCCAGCAGCCACCGGCAGAACATTCGCTTGCTTCACGCCGCCGTACTGCTTGAATATCTGCTTGGCCTGGACACTGCTGCAGTCCATCGGAAGTCCGGTCACAAAGAGCTCCTCGCTGGGAGGACCCTGCTGCGGCCCGCCCTTCCCATCCATAGCCATGCTCAGGAATAATTGCGCTAATGTGCTGCCTAATTCTTGCCCTCAAGCTTTTAACAGCTCCCCTTATGAACTCTACTACATCTCATGAGATGTTACAGTCTGGGGATGGCCGTCAGACTCTACTTAGATTGTCTAACTCTGCACGGGTCTTGCAGTTTGTTGACTCTTGAAACACAATGAACCCAGCTTTGCTGCAGCCGGTGCGCAAGGATATCAGAGCACACGAGAAGATCGGAACCGTGCGATGGAAGCTACATCCAGTGGCCTCTACGAGCTCGTCCAGGAGGGAGAGGGGCTGATGCGCTCCATTACCTGTGGTGGCCTCGGGTTCGTTCCAGGTCCAATACCAATAAACACTGCCTTGTTGTCGGGTGTAGAAAACACTCCACTGGCACTGCTGTGTTTCTGTGAGACCCCTTGAGGACCCCACGAGCGCGAAGCAGCAACCTGGGCACTGCCAATAAGCAGTGACAAGCATAATTTGCTGATAGGAACTCCTTGTTTGGGAGAGTCTCTCTGTGCTGCGTTGCGGCGGTTGGCTGGTCAAAGCTTGTGATGCCCACTGCACAAACTGCAAGATGCTGATCGCCGAGCCCGGCGCTTCTCAAATCTCCCGCGCTCATGTCGCCAGCGTCAGTAAGACCCAGCGGTTGTGCACAAAGGAGAGATAGGCTTTGCATCTCCTGCCGCCGTGAGCCCACACAACCACAAGACACATCAGTGGCCTGTATATACCAGCATTGCCAAAGAAAGCTCACACTGCCATAGCTTTGGGGACGAATTGCAGCGCTCGCCCGACAGACCCAGAAAGTCCCATCCAATCCCGCACCGCAGCTCCACTCCACAAAGAAACACACAGAGAAGACCCGCAAGAGCCACATAGACCCACCCCGGCCCCCGCCACGTCCCAGCGGGTCCCTCGGCTTCAGCGAGTCCATACGCCGAGCCGCCTCGGCGAAGAGGGCGCGGAACATCCCCTGGCAGGCGCCTGCCGGCGGATCGAGGGAAAGTGTGCGGAAAAAGGTGGGGGAAGCTCGAAGTTGTTTGGGGCGGCTAGCGCCTTAGCCCTTACTCCACCTTTCCTAGCATGTCCGGAAAGCCGAACGATGAACCCACAACCCCTCGTCTCCTGACACCTCCGAGATCCCGACCTTCCAGCAAGGCTGGAGGCTGCAGCTTGGCCAGGTCTATGGAGAAAACCCTGAGACAAGAAGAGGCCGGTGAAGCACGTGGCTGTGCAAAAGAATTTGATAATTACACCTACATGTGATGACCGGCATGACGCACGTGTCTACTTCTCCTTACGACCTATCTAGACAGTCTACAGTGCATTACACCTGCCCTGGGTCAGCCCTGCAAGCCGATAAAATCGGCTCAAAGCCAAGCAACCTGATGAGGTGGAGCAGCACAGTGTTCTCCAGCATCTGCATCCGATCTAAAGCCTACCATCACGAAAGGCAACAGAAATGGGTTCACTGCTGAGAAAGGTCATCGGCTTGCAAAGGGACGAGTGGCAAGGAAATGCTGTGATTTACAGAGGCCCGCATCTACACCAGTATACATACATATATATATATATATATATACCAGTACTATTGCATCTTAGTTTTACCATTGCTAGTATGCTAGTACTGGTACTAGCACTCTTACTAAGGGGCCAGAGAGCCCGAAGAGCAGAAGCTCAGAGCGCCTCGCGGCCTACGGCAGCCAGCACGACGACCTCAGCTCTCAGAGGCGTGCGCCGGGGGCCCTCCTCTTCGGGCCCTCCAGGCCCAGGGCCAGTCGGGTACGTCTAAACTGCTTACTACTTCTAGTAAGCTTTTTCTGGAAACTCCGGCAAACAGAGGCGTTCCTTGCACCATGCGCAACACATCGGAACAGTCCCTTTCGAGCCGCTCTTCCAGAGCTTGAAACCTTGAATTTGGAACCAGTAGTCCGCTATCTAGGCTTTCGTGCAGCCGCCGGTAGAATCCGCTACAGCCCAACACACCCTTCCAACACCTTTGAACTTGCACTAGCCCCCAAGCCATGCGACACCCCGCCAACTTCGTTGCACTTCGCTGCACGCACTCTGCAGGACCCCCGGCCGCACCGGGAGCACCGACGAGCAGGAAGGCCCTTCGGCGTCGAGCTTTAGATCGGTACATGGGAGGGAAGTTAGCTGAAGGTGTGTTCGACGAGTCTTAGGAAAGGATGGCTCCTGCGGATGATCGCCATGAAGGGCTCCAAACATCTTTGCATGCCCAGCTAGGTGCATAGGCCGGGGGAGTTCAGACGCAGCCAAAGCCCCAAACCCCGACTTCCTGGTATCAGTTCTCATACTAAACGTCCTCAACAACAGTATTGATGACTGGAATCTCAGGGCCCCGAGCGCTGCCAGGTTCACCAGCAGCTGGTTGGAGAGCTCAGAAAGCCGGCTCAAGGCCTGAAAAGAAGGAAAGGGAAGGTCTCGAGATGCTGGTGCGATTCCAGACGGGGTCCAGGTTCCCATTTTCGTCGATGCCTCGTTTGTGTACAGTGTACCTTTCTGTTTGTCAACGCGTGATACTCTTGTAAGCATAGCCTCGGTGTCTCGTGACTCCACTTGCCGAGTGCTCAGGAAGTGCGCGCACCGTCCTACACAAGGCAGGCAAAGCCTGGCAATGACCGGCACAGCACACGAGTAGCCGTGAGCGCAGAGCAGGTTACCGCGGGGCTCACCAAGTTCGGGTCAGAGCTGTCAGAAGAAGGCGGGCTTGGCGAGCCCAGCTGCCGTCCGCGTTGGACACGTGCAGAAAAGTCCCGGAATATTCGCAAAAAAACGTAGCATAACGATGACGTCCTTCCTCGTTGGCTCCATTTGAAGCTGTTCTTGTTTAACGGCTGCATAAAAGCAGCGTAAGCGCATGTAAGCGCAACTGATGGACACCTGCCCCCTGTCGAGATGACTTGACAGTCAATCTGTTCATAGCCTCGTGGACAGTTCTCTGATGGAGTCGCAGAGTCGTGGGTCGAGCTTCCAGTCCGGACTCAGATACAGGCTAGCTGGCGAACTTGCAACCTGAAAGGAGAAAGCAGCCCACTGCAGGCCATTGCAAGCCTGCTGCATGGCGGCAGTGCAGAAGTCGACAGCATTGGATATTTTGGGGCCACCTGAAACGCTGGGCTACCGAATTGCAGTTGCGCGGATTACCTACAGTCCTACAGGTATTCTCCACTTGCCTCCTTTGCCGCTGCTTTCCATATTTTTCGCCACCTCAGCGTCTTCTAGGACAGGCCTATGCCAATGCACGACCTGAGCGATTACTCAGCAACCGGCCTTTGCAGCAGCCAAAGAGCATATCGCAATCTCTGGCATGCTGAACCTGGAATAGGAAGTCCATTGAAGACCCAACAGCTGATAGCAAGATTGCTGTGTTCGTTAAACGATTTTCGAATCAGTTTAGGTCTCCGTCGCTCCGGAACCCGCTCTGCAAGCCGCTCCGGCACCCTCCTCTCCGGGAACCCGCTCCGGACCCCGCCTCCAGAACCTGTTCCGGAACGAACCCTCCCCGGAGGTCTGCTCCAAAACCCACAGGCTGAAGACCCCATCGCTTCGCTGTTTGGGAAAGAGGAAACCAAGCAGATTGCACAGAATCCCAAGCATGATCATTTACCATGGAACCAGCTGTCTACAAAAGCCCAGTTTGCAATCGTCGAAACTCAGAGCATATGGATCGTACACTGGATGTAATCAATGTAAATTTTGTGGCAGCTGGAGCGCGGGCAGCTTGAGCAGTAATCTGCCAACCTTTATTTTGTGTCCTTTGGTGACTGCGGGCGACGACAACAACCACCGCAACGATTACGATCTCACATACACACATTCACACACACACACACACACACATGCACTCGCGCACACACACACACACACCACACACACACACGCACACTCACACGCACACACCGACCGTCCCCGCCATCGCCGCCGCCGCCGCCACGACCACTTCGAAGCAAGAAAGTCAGTAGCAAGCGCAGCAAGGGCAGCAGCAGCCTTGCAGCAGCAGCAGCAGCACCACCACCACCACATGCCGCCGTCACCGCAAAAACACATCTATCATGATGTCCTGGCTTGCTGGTACGAGTTTCATCGCTACCAGCTGTGTTGCCCTTCACGATCACTCTGGTATTGCTACAGCCGTTTAGTACTGTTGCTCATCAGCCAGTCTTCAACACATGCACTTCCCTCATTCGTATGATAAATTGCAGGCCTGTCAAGTTGACGGGTAGCCGCCGGCAGCAGCGCCATCACCGCTGATTGCCTCATGTGTTGCGAGACTGCCAATCAAGTGCCCGGTAAGCGAACATCCAACAACAGCAAACCTCTAGCCCCATGCTGCACGTCTTCCGAAATCCTATCACGTCTGAGCTGCTGGCAATGAGCTCTGCCTGCATTTCCTGCGGGTCAAAGCCCACCTCAACCGGGATAAAAACTCAGTGACTTGCTGACTGAAGTAGAAAGGCCAGATTACTGACAAAGCCAAGATCGTGTTTGCGAAGATGCCCATCTTCGGGTCAGCATGAAGTGTTAAAAAAACTCCGGCTGATTCTGGCTGGCTCATCTAAGGCTCTGGTGCCCCTAACGATCTGCAAGCCTAGGGCGAGGACAGAATGTTCGTCAGCTGCTGTGGGGTGAGCACCTTCGGCTCAGTTCAGAAGCAGGCCGCTACGCAGATGTCATGATTTTGGATCAGCATGTTCAGCCTAGGCCTTACCGTGACCATGACAAGACTGTCACAAAAATTTGTGCAGCTGCTAGATTATGCACGTGCGTAACATGTGGTCAAAATCCAACCGAACAGCGCACCCGAAAGCTCCACTCACAGGCATACACCACTATCTCACCTTCACGGGGCCTGCGCTGGCCGTGGCTGGCCAGCTCAGGCCAGCGCAGGCAACCAGGAATGCAACCGTATGGAATGCACTGCTTGTGCCATGGACCGACAGTCTGAAGATGCTCATCTCCTGGCTCTTGGAGAACTCGTTGCCCCTGGGCCCTGCACTAATCGCTGCGCTGCCAAGGACGCATTGTTGAAGAACGCCTTGGTCCCACCCGAGGATGGGGATTCTCTCGTCGTCTTCACGACGCGAAGGCCCGGGCCGCTTGGAAAAAGTTGTTGGCTGCAAACCCCCACATGATGCCGGCCACCTCCTCGGTAGCGGAATGAGAGTAGGGCTCCATTTCTGCAGCCACTCGGCTTGAGTCGAACAAGCTGCATCCTGTGCTCGACTTCCCTGCTTCCGGGCTTCGGGCCTGTTGTTTGAAATCTTGCAAACGGACGGTCGCACGTCTTGCCAGCTCCTGAAACAGCCTCAAGGTGTTCTTGACTGCAACATCGCGAAGTCCTAAACACGATTCGCTGCAAGTCTTGATGAAGCCAACAAGAGCATTGCCTGGAATCGACAGAGAGCGACTAGATTCACCGAACTCTTCAGGCCTCTCGTGCTGAATCTGGAGGAGGCCATAGGCCCAAGCCTTTTCGCTAGACAGCATTCGACTCTGACGATGTACATCACAGGACTGCGACAGCCCTGCATCCAGGGTACAAACCTTGCCTGAGCAAAAATGCCAGCACTCCACTGGGTTCGGTGCTGTGTTGGCCAGCTCACCGCAGTTGGCAGTGTGGACCTGCAGGAGTCGCACTTTGCCTGACCTGATCTGACGTGAGGCCCAGGCCGCGGCCTGGGAAATCAGGTGGTCGCCGATGGACTGAAAAAGCGCTTCCTCCTTCTGCCTCCGAAGGACGGTTCAGTGAACATGCACATATGGAGAAGAATCCAAGGGCCAACCGTCCCGATCGGTCCAGGATTTATCTGTGACGCCTGAAGGTAGCGTAGGACCACACGATGGTGACCAGGCAGCGGAGGGTAAACTCCTCGCGGATCTCGGGAAGCAGTCACTGAACATCGCTACGATGCACAAGAGCTACATCATGTTACATCTGTCCAGAGGCCGACACGACTGAAACGATCAAGCGCTCTCTAGACGGAAGCTTTTCCCACCCTGGCGCAAGAGTCGGCGTGATTATTCTCGTCAACTGAAGCTCACAAGCGGGCAGCCATGTTCTAAGGACTTTAGGAGGGACCCCTCCTTAATCCCATTACCTTAAATAACCATTGTATAGTCCTTTTATACCCCTTATATAGCCAGGTAGTCTCCATATTAACCCCAATAACCTACAAGGGTCCCTATTAAGGGTCCCTCCTGAAGCCCTTAGACATGTAGCCATGCTGATGCCAGCGCTCACTTCTCAGTGCTTCTTCTTTCATTTTCTCCCTCAGCTGTCGCTTGCTTGTCGGTCGGTGATTAGTTCATGTGGGCCAAGTGAGGAGATCCCATCCCACTCTCGAAGACAAAAAGAAAGGTTAATTCGAAGGCTTGCGCGTCGACGACGACAGCAACGATAATGGCTATACCCAGTGATAACGACTACGACTACGACAACTACAACCCTCACCACCAAGAACTACTCGCAACACTCAAAACTACTCAAAAACTACTTACCACAACAGCAGGACAACAACAACAACAACAACAACAACAACAACACCAACAACAACAAGGCAGACGTAGCGTTTGCGTTTTGGCACCTTTTGTTTCTAAGTTGTTGTTATTGTTGCTGAGTGTGATTTTTCGAGAATGCCGCAAGTAACGTGGTGTTCGTTGTTTGTGTTGCTTCAGTTGTGGTTTCAATTCTTAATTTCTTGTTTGGAAAGCCCACAAAACGCGCGACTTTTTCTGCTGGGAGCATCTGACAAAGACAGGAAAACAGCAGCAAGAGGGAGCAACATTGTCGGTGTCATTGCTATCATCATAATTATTACCATCACCTTCGCTATCCTCTGCATGAACAAGCAACATCATCAACATCAGTATCTTCGTAATCATCATACTTACCAACAACAGCATACTCTTGAGCATAAACATCATGATCATCAGCAACAGCATCATCATCTAATCATCATCCTCACCATCGTCATCACGGCCAAGGCAATCTGCTTTAAGAGTAGAGCTTTGAGTCTGGAGCTTGCGGGGTTTTGGCAACAAGAACGAAAGCATACGAAAACCACGGTATTTACGACGCTTCCTCAAAACCACCCCTGCACGGTGCAAAAAACGAAACACTAGATGCAAGCCGCATTCCAAGGACGATATCAGCACCCCCCCTTTTCCCCCCCTCATCCTCCCCACCCCTGCACGGAGCAAACAAGAAACAAAGACTCAGCAAGTACAAGGAAGAAAGCAGCCGACTTGCAAGCAAAAAAGGGGAACGGAGAAGCCACGCGTGACTGTAAATACCCACAGAAGTCCAAGCTGCCGAAAAGTCGAGTTTTGGCACAGCGCAGCCCTGAAATCGAACATGTTTCTTTGGGGAAAACACCGTTGAAACCGATACTAAACTAAAAACGGAGGTGTTTTGTCAGGACAGCCATGTGCCAACACTGGAATTTTAGCACATTGCAGCCCTGAAATGGCTCCACTGTTGCGTTTGCCAACAACAACAACCACCAACACCACCACCACAGCCACAGCCACAACAACAGCAGCAGCAGCAGAGCGGCGGCAGCAGCGGCAGTAGCGGCAGCAGCAGCAGCAGAAGCAACTGCAACAGCAGCAGCACAGAGACAGAATGAAATTACAATAAAACGCACCAGCATCACCACAGCACCACTACCACCATCACCACCACCACCACCACCATGACTGTTGATGACAAACGGGTGGCTGAACTGCTTCCTTTTCAGAGCCCTTTCTACTGGCACTTGACTATCCACTCACCCAAAAACTCGATTAGATTCTGCTTCTGGTATTTTCTTGTTACCATGTTTGTCTCATTGTCATTGTGCCATCAAGCACCATATCGCAATCCCTGCCATCCTCATGCTCATCTTTCTGATCATCAGTAACATCATCAGCATCAACTCAAGCGCATGACGATCATCAAAAGCTCTTCGTGCCGAGCTTCGCTTGCAAGCTTTTGGCCATGATCTGATTGCCCCGCCTGGTGCACCGCTGGGTCTACTGGCTCACTCTCTGGTCTAGCGTCAGAGAGTCCGGAGTCGACACTCAAAGGGCAGGTCATGACTGCAATCTTCCCCCTGCCTCTCAACTTCGTGCTTGTGCTGTGCCGCCCGGGCTGTGTTTTGAGCCCTGCAGACCCTTGGCTGTCGTACAGGACCCGAAAAGCATCGCATGATGCACGAAACGCCACACGAGCACAAAACACGCAATCAACAACCGGGAAGCTCTTGGACCAGATCGCTGTTTGTGTTGGTGAGCGCAGCGTTTTTTTCTTCGGCTCTCTCAAGGTCCAGCCGCAATTTGTCCTGGAGCTTTAAGTCGGTACGAAGTGCCAGCGACTCGGAGACATTGAATTGCAAGTCTGGTGTCCTGATGGACCTTCATCTTGGCGTTTTCCTCGTAGAGTCGGTGGAGCAGGCCATTCTGACAGGTGCTAGGCCGCTAGGCCGGGCCGGAGGTCTGGACTCTTAATCCCTCAAGCGACTGCTGAGACAGCTTACGGCCTTTTTTTCAGCAAAGCAATCGCAGCTCCTCTCAGGCTGTGGTCAGATTATCCTGGGTCTGATTCTTCGGGGTGTGGATCGTCTCCAGTATATCCTCGACCAACTTCGTATTGCCTGAATTTGCTAGGCACATCTGACGGCAGACACACCACGTGACGGCCATGCGAATGCTAGAAAGTCACACCTGCATCGACAGCAAGATGCAAAACTTGCATACACCTGATTAGGCCCTGGATGCCACGCTTCATGAAGACCCTCCAACCACTGCAGACCGGTTGCTCAGAATCCAAACGGAGGTGCCGATGGCCAAGATCATGGCCAAGCCTGCAGGTAGCAGGAACAGTCGGTCTCCTGCGAATGCACAAAAGTCACAACCCTGGCCACTGTGATGGCTGCACGAAGGCCAAGACGATGAATAAGAAACAACACAGTGCGGTCACAAGAAGCCTTGTAGTGGTCGTGGTCGTTGTTGTGACTCTTGTCTTACTTGCTCTTAGCACTATCATTGCTATTCTTCTTGCTATCGTTATTCATCTTCATTTCCGTGCTATTACACTTACTCGTCTTCTTTCTCGTCCTATCACTCTTGTTGTTGCTGGTGCCAGGTGGTGGTGCTGGTGGTGCTGGTGGTGCTGGTGGTGCTGGTGGTGCTGGTGGTCCTCGTGGTGCTGGTGTTGCTGGTGCTGGTGTTGCTGGTGCTTGTGCTTCTGCCGGTTGTGCGAGGGCGGGGGCGGGGTGGAACTCCCAGTGGCTGGGTGACTGGGTGTTGGGCGCTGTGTGACTAGATGTCGTGATCTTGCATGTTTAGAACGCTGCACCTTTCAACTCAAGGTCAACACTCTATGACACGAACAATCCGCAGAAGTCTTGATCTGAGAAGTGTATAGATCTGGCAAAGGCACCTCCCCGGCTCCCGCAGACCTCAGGCGAGCTAAAACTGTCGGCCAGTGGCTCTGCAAAGGACATGCTGAAATAGACACAGGGCGGCCAGGTGATCCCACTGGTTTGGGATGCAGTGCTGCAGGCTGTCGCAACATCACCACTATGGGTGCCTACTCGAGACTGCGTGCGTCACCGCCAAGCTACCGATTCATGCCGAATCCTTACAGTACGGCGGGACGTATGTGACATCGATCGCTCGAAGAATCTGCGTTTCCTGTGCATAAGCACGAAAAACGGGGCTGATCCACACTCCACCTGCTTCAAACTACATACAGTAGATTTGCACTCGGGACAACCGACCAGCCCGCACAGCAGATGTAAACCTCCAGAGCCCAGCAGCAAACCCAATCGCCGCAATAACCGCCTGATCTCTGCGTCCGAGGCACGACGCGCGCGTCCCAGCCGCGCTCCGCCCGGGTTCGCACGAAGAGAAGTGGAGGGAACACCATGGCCATCCTGGTCCGAGGCGCAAACCGAAAGTAGGTCAGGGCTTGTAGGTTATATAAGGGTTACACAGAGTGCAGAGCCATGAACACTGACATCAACCCCATAAGAGTCGGAGGGTTTCGGCATGGAGGTGTGGAGTCATGGTTCTCAAGCTGGCTTAGATCCCTAGGTTTACTGGGAAACACAACCATCCTCAGCTCTCCGCTGGCACAACATGCCACAACCCCCTGAGGTTTTGGGATTGGGGGGCTTTGAGGTTTCGGGTATTCGAGGCCTAGAAAGATTTCTTTTCAAAACGTGTGGTGGGCTGTTGCATCTGAGGCACAAGGTTGCACAGCAGCCACCGCCGAAACGTAAACAGTACTCGAGGCCTTCCAGCGATGCATCTATATCGTCACCCCTTCGCATGGGCGTCTTCTTCTGGAAAGGACGATAAAGGACCGGATGCTCCCAGAAGTTTGGAGGTGCTCGCAAGAGATCGAGCAATAGGCACAATATTAGCAACCTGCGGATACAAGTACTTACATGACTGATGTGGCACCTCCAAGTGCTTGGGCGACCACCGAGAGCCTCAGCGCAGGCTCAGCGCCGGCCGGGAGGGAAGGGGAGAACCAGCTGCCCAAAACGGAACTCTGCAGCTTTCCCTGCCCAGGCGCATCGACAAGAACAGGCTGAGGCCCACGGATAAAGCCTCAAATTTCAGGCGGCATTTCGGAACAAGAAGTTACTGCTGCTTGACTGATAGAGATGCCCTTTGCAATACCTTTGACTTGCCAAGTTGCGGCAAACACAGGGTACGGTGCCTCGTGACGCAGCTCATCCTTCCGCAGGCAAGCTGACATTAGCACGTTCCTTAGCCGACAGCAGTGTCCGGTAAGCGAAGGTGAATACGGCCAACAAGCGCTGAAAGATCTGCTGGCAGAGCGACCGAACCGGGAACATCATGAAGATGTAGGAAATGAACACCTGGGACGCAGCAGTGATCAACCCCAATGTATACCTGACTGAGTCCCTCAAGGGCCTCGACCACCAGGTCGAGGAGTAGAAAAGCTTCTGCAAGTGACATGGTTGGCTCGCGAATTGCGATCCAGAAGTTGCTGGCGCTTCGACTTGCAAGCTACAGTCGCGCAGGGGGTGGACCCCACTGAATTCTTGTAAAGATGTGACTGGATATGGTTGGCTGCCAAGGCGCCAGAACGAAGCCGCACCTGCCCACACAACTCAGCAAGGATGCAAACAAGCAACAATGCATCAACTGAGCAGTGGCAGACTCTGATGATGTCATGTTCAACACACAGAGGTGCAGCCGAGACGCCATCGGGCCACCTGATCGACAGGACGCTGACCTTCAGGGGTCCCGACGCACGGCAGTCCGGCTGCAGTCCCTGGACAGTGCCTATCGTTGTCAGCGCGCTGTTGGTGCAGAGGTCCGAATACCGCAGATACACCGAGTGCCCGAAGATTGCTGAGATTACCTGCGAAGGTCTGGACAACACGGTACTCTATGCACCTGTCAGTGTAGGCGCGGGTCTCACAAATTACTGCACTCACTCTGTATCTTGCAAGCATGGAGCGTAAAGGAGAAAGTACACCAATCCAGTGACTCGCCGAACGTTCTCCCACGAGTTATCCTGCATAGATGCCTCAGTGCTTGGCAACGTGAAACGTGCGGGATGCAGTGTGAAAGTTTTGCCGACACACATCCCCATTGTCCTCTGCTTCTGCCCCTCACAAACCTTCAATCCACAGCCCCAACCTGCGGCGAAACCACTATCCCGCGAAGGACGGGAAAGGGTGCGTACCCGCTCACTACGATTACGAAGCATCTGAACCTGGCACTACAAGTAACGAAAGCAGTGTCAGATCCACGAGGCTCGGGCATCGAATCCATCAGTGCAACTGAGCGGCCAAGATGATGGGAGACGACGCCTGGGTAGAGTACGCCAGAAGAATCACCGGCAGCACCTGCCCAGATTACAGGACGCACACAACGACAACCACAGTTGTGGCTTCTCGGAACACGATCGGAGACCTTCACTGCTTGTGCTGCCACCTCACACCCGCCACGAAAAGACTGGCGAGACCGAGGGCCTTGATGAGCTTCGACGGGTCCAAGGTATAATACAGCAGCTTTCCGGGCTCTCGACCTCCGAGAAGCAAGGGCGAAAAAGGTAACAATAAGCTCTGAAAACAATAACAACACTGGTCATCATCCGAAAGACAAGCAGAAAGAGTTCCTTAGTAGTTGTCGTCGTCATCGTCGTGGGGCTACTAGTAGTAGTAGTAGTAGTAGTAGTAGTAGTAGTAGTAGCAGCAGCAGTAGCAATAGCAGTAGTGGTAGTGGTAGTAGCAGTAGCAGTAGCAGTAGCAGTAGCAGCAGTAGTAGTAG